AGGTGGAGTAAACGAGGTCGTAGACGAGTATGGGAGGCGAAGGGCGTTCAGCCCGTTACAATTAAGAATCTTAAAACTATAATGACTTTATATATACGTTAAAAAACTCTTTATAATAAAAATATATGATTCACTTTATATACTTATTTAATATAAAGAAAAAGAGGAAAAAAAGATACTTCTTAAAAAAAGTTATATAGTAATATATTTTATAGATTATTTGATTTTATATTTTTGCGTATATATCTCTCTATAGCTATTTACTAAGTAAAAAGTAGGTCTACTACGCTAAACTACTAACTCTCTACATTCTAAATCTATGCTTTACTTATTTTTAGCTATCTAATTAGTAGAGTTATTTAAGTTTAAAAATCTCTATTTTTTGAAGGACTTTTTTTTACTGTCACCCCTCTGTATCTATTGAAAAAGAGCTAGGCTCTAGGCTAAGGAACAGTTTACAAAGTTGCTGCGGTGACCTCGTTACAATATCTGTAAGTGTTAAATAACCTGCGGCACCTCTTCTGATCCTAAATAGCTGCAGTGACATCAGGTAGCTACGATAGTAGAATCCTTCTTGACTATTAAATTCGTTTGTGTCCTATATTGATTCTATATAGATTCAATCGCGAATCTCACTACAAGAACTTAACAGGCTATATTTTTCTTGCAGCGTTAAAACATCTCCATAGTTTGTACGACGTGTCAGCATTCTGTTGTAAACTACTCAATTACTTCCCAGAGAATACTTTCCCTATACTTGTTGTTACTCTACTAAATATTATACAGTGAGATTGGACTTAGCATGCAAACGTATTCTAATTCTGATCAAGGTTTAGCACTAACAATAGAGGTGCCTATAGCAAAGAGTCTAGGGAGTATGTAAAGATGCATTGTAGCAGTACTGATATAATCATAAGCTGATATATATAAGCCCGCCAGGGAATTTACAAAGGGCTTCGTAAATATATCATAGCGGAATATGCTTCGCAGATTGCATATGTAGAAACAGGTCACATCAGCTGCATTTCACCATGTCGATCAACACGGGCTGAATACTATCATAGTGTTTTCCAAAGCACAGACTGTATATTAGGTAAGCCGGCTCTACATTGCTCTGCCTTGGACCGACATCTCGTTAGTATACTGGGCATTTACAATGCATAGATCTTGACAAAGGAAACAAGGCAATTGTAAGTCCTCGTTTTCGATAGTCAATAGCGGGTAATCGGGCGAATACAATGAAGGGAGTCGTGGGCTGGCGCACCAGGGTTCCCATTGTAGCAATACTAAAATAGATTATGCTGTAAAATATTCCAATGGGTTTCCCAACAATGGGGACGAGAAACCATTATGTGTCCTAAAGATTTCACTACCTCTACTGTAGTAAAATGACGTGTATAAGCCATGGAGAGTACGCCTCGGCTATCCTCGTAATCGGATCCCACCGGAACTCTTGAGCACGAAATTTTGTATTAACTCCGCTCAGCTTGCTGAAAACCCACATTAGCAAGAATATAAAAGCTGCGCTGTGTGATTTGATTTGTCTAGGAACCACATTATTTACCGCATACAGTCAAGTTCTTATGTGTGCTGTTCTGAGCCTCACGTCTATTTAAAGTATAAGTAGCGCCTCAGCATAAATGTACTGCGCCTCGCAGCGTGCTTGCAACCATACTTAACCCTGTATACTACACTTCAGCGTTGTCTTTGTTATAAGCGCGCTTTGCTTATGCTTTAAGCGTACCCCTGCTCCATCTCACCTGGTATTAATCAATCCATATTGCTAATAAACCAGACCAAGCGAACATCTCCAAGACGCCGAGTTCAAGGCCGGTGCTAGCAAGTGCCACCGCGATGAAGCCGCTAACTACCAATGACATCTTCTCTTGTGTCACTAAACTAGAAAATCCTAGAGCCTTGGGAGAGCGGTGAGTCCTCAACATAGGTGCACGGACTTGAAGTCGTGCTTATGTGGTTTAATTGTGGGGGAAACGGGTCGGTTTTGATACTGGTTTAGTGGGTCGCCCGCTTCCGCAGTCTTGGATGAACAATGCAAGATACCGTTGTATCGTTCATTCCAGCCGGTACTACAGGGACCTTTTATGTGGGAAAGTGCGGTCTACATAAATATCGAAGGCACCGCTGGTACTGGAAATTTACTGCCTAATTGAGGCTAGCTCAATAGCGTATATAGCTGCTCCGTTGCGGAGCTTCAATCCAACGCATCTCCTCTTACTTTTCATTTTATACGCCTGGGGTGTAGTATGATTAATAATAGCAGCGCTAAGCTCCAGGTCAGGCGACTCTAGTATTTAGACTTTTCCGGCCCAGTCTTTCCTCGGCAAGCGTTCTCGCAAGTCGACACGATGAAATACACCGTTGCACTTGGTGTGCTCGCTGCTAGCGCTTTTGCAGACAAGCTCGATGTAAACCCTGTAGGGTCTATATGCCCCCAAGCCTTGGTGTTGTATTCAGAACATTGATTCGCTGACAACCGTCCAGACGCTTCTCCAGGCCGACATTGTGCGCGAGCATCTGTGGGCAGGCGCTGGAAAGCTGCAAAGCTTCGCCGACGCGACAAAGGAGAAGAATCGAATGGTGGCTGGTCCTGCAGAAGAAGCTACGATTCAGTGGTTAAAGGACAGTCTTGAAGCCCTGGACTATTACGATGTTTCGCTCCAAACCTTTCCCTTGACCGTTCAATTCAGCGGATCTATCAACGCCTTTGCCATCAACGCTACCGCAGTTCCCAAGACATCGTATTCGCTTTTCCAGTTCTCCCCTAGTGGAAATGCGACGGCACCCTTGATGTTTGTAGATGGTGGATGTAACAAGGTATGCTCTTTAGCCTGCCTGGATGAAGTTTTCCGCTTGGGCTAATCCCCAACGACAGACGGACTATCCAGCCAATCTAGCTGGAAAGATTGCCATAATCCCTCGTGGAACATGCGAATTTGGCCTTAAGTCTACTTTTGCTGGTTCTGCGGGTGCGGTTGGGCTCATACTATACAACATTGATGACAGCGGCCCACTTACTGGGGGGAACTCTTTTGGCTCCGCCTAGACCAGAGGGGCCATATGTTCCTACTCTCAATGTCATTCAGGGTGTGGCAGCGCCTGTTGTATCAGCTCTCAAACGCGGTGAAAGTGTAACTGCCAGTCTGGATATTGTCACAGGTAAGCAATCCCCCGGACATGCAAATGCCGTGATGCGCTTACGCTCAACTGTTTCCTCGATGTAGATATTCGGAAGACCACTCCTTCAAATTTGCTAGCGACAACCAAGTCCGGCGACCAGAGCAACAAGCTCATGCTGGGGGCTCATACAGATTCCGTAGCTGCCGGCCCAGGCATCAACGACAATGGGAGTGGCATCACCGCGTTGCTTGAGGTAGCAAAGGCCCTTCCAAAGTACGAGATCAAAAATGCCGTTACTTTTGCATTCTGGACTGCGGAAGAGGAAGGACTCCTGGGTTCGAAGCATTTCGTTAATAACCTGCCTGCAGCCGAGGCTGCTAACATACGCGGTTACTTGAATTTCGATATGGTATGTATGGGTGCACGGAAAGGTCATTGGCTTGGTGCTTACATTTTCTTAAGATTGCGTCACCCAACTATGTGAATTCCATCTACGACGGAAGCGGCAAAGCATTTGGTGTGAAGGGCCCTGCGGGATCCGCGCAGTTCCAACAGTTCTCCCAAGACTATTTCAAAGGCGCGGGCAAGAACTCCACAGCAACAGAATTAAGCGGTCGGTCCGACCATATGGCTTTCCTTGTCGCCAACATTCCAGTCGGTGGTACTTTTACAGGAGCAGAACAGAACAAGACGGTAGAAGAAGTTGCCTTGTTCGGTGGCCAGGCTGGCCAGCCCTACGACCACTGTTACCATCAGGCGTGTGACACACTTAGCAATCTGAACATGGATGCTTTTGAGCTTCATGCAAAGGGCATTGCAGCTGCTGTTGCTACGTATGCGACATCGTGGGAAGGGTTTCCAGCGAGGAACACCACGCAGTCCGTGAAAAGGAGCGAATTTGAGGCTTGGAACAGTAAAAGAGATGCGCATGTGCATGAGGGTGTGGGCTGCTCGCATGATCGAGTGACGATGTAGTTCAAGGCTGTATGCTAATACTTGCGTAACAGATTCATGAATGCCTTGCAGAATTGATGCCCAGTACATGACTATCACATCATATTGTTATGGCCATGATGGCAACGAAGACTCAACAGCAAGAGCCAGGTACATGAACTGCAGAGCTCCAAGCGCCCCTCCAGTCTCCAGGGCGCAGAGGGTGAGACAGATTTAATTTCCTTGAAAATGGCAATGGCAGATGCACCGAAGGGGGGACCAGGCTAAGCTGGTTCAAAAGACAGTTCCACAAATAAAGGTCAATATACAGATGATCTTTGGGACAACACCATAGCCATGGACATGACAGTCACACTCCTCACACTTTACTTACCAACCCCATCTGCCTTTACATTATCATAAACACTGTCACTGTCTCTACTCGTTGTTCTCTTTGAAAGGTCTCAGAGTCAGAAATCTCGCCAGACCGCTGTATAGCATTGATGAATCTTGGTATTTTAGCCACATGCTGCCCTATATGTTGTACAGTTATTCGATTCATTGTTGAGTAGTAGCCTGGCTACCTCTTCTCATCCAACTCTTGCCTGGTCTCTCTCATGCGGCCTACAGCCTTGTCTATTCCACTCCATCTCCTCACGAGGCGTTGCATTCCAATAGGCAGTACTCCGAGGACCTGGATGTATCTTGAGTAAAGCGGTAGCGCAATCTCGCCGCTGTCGCCCTTCTCAATCATGGTAATGATTTCCTTGCCAATCTCAGCAGGTGTGGCTACGGGCGCGAGGAAGTTGCTTGGGGTTTTGAGGCCTGCAAACATCTGTGTGCCCATCTGACCAGGCGTCACGAGAATGGTCTTGATGTCCTTGGCCTCGGGAATCTGCTGAAGTTCGGCACGCAGCGACTGGTGGAGCGCCAGAAGCGCGGCTTTGGATGCCGTGTATGCGGATAGGTTGGCGGCGCCGAGGTGTCCGAGGACGGAGGAAACAGTGACAATGGTACCCCGGCCTTCTTTCAGCATGTGCGGCAAAAATGTACGAATGGTGTTGAAGTGCGCAAGTGTGTTCACTTGGAAGATCCTATCCTGCTTGTCAGAAGAGACCTAAGAGCCTAGGCGTATGTCTTACCTCTGTACGTCCTCGGCAGTCGACTCGAGAATCGACTTGGGCTGCATAATGCCCGCGTTATTGATGAGGATGGTGGGAGCCCCAAGCTGTAGCTGTCAGCACCCATGCAAATCCCATGCTAGAGCAGCACTTACGTCTTCAACAATCCGGGCAGCCGCCGCTTCCACCTGCTTCGCGTCGCTAACATCACACTCGTAGTACAAGACGCCCGTGTCCTCTGACACTTGGTCGTCCACCTTTTTTGTGTCCAGAACTGCAATGTTTGCGTTGCGCATGCCGTACGTCTCTGCTATGAGTGCGCCCAGGCCTTGGACGCCGCCGGTCACGACAATGACCTCTTCAGCCAAATCCACCTCTCGCGGTGATCCGAATGCGACACGCTCGTTGATGAGGCCGAAGATGCCGTTGATCGTCATGAGCATAGCCCACGCGAAAGCGATGCGCATCTCGAGGGCCCCGTAGGCTGTGTACTGCGCGCGGAGGCACAGGACGAGAACCCATGCTACGAATGGGTGGAATACCGTGTATCCGAGGACATTCCATATCAGATCAAGGGTAAGGTAGCGATACCAGGGCTCGTCGGCTCGATCGTAGCTCCTGGGTAGCTGTACGGGAACTTGTTTGATCGCGGACATTGCGGGCATGTCGATACAGGAAGCTTGCTCGTGCATGGTGGATGGTGGGGCGCGTAATGGCGCGTATTCGGGGCTGGACTAGTATTGGCGCTCTCTACCGGACTGGCGGTAGCAAAATCAACGCGGAAGAAGTGAGGCCTGTCTGGGGAAAGGAATTGCGAGACATGTATGCGAGGCCATGGTGTTCTTATTCTGCTGTCGCCGATGCTGAGGGTTGCAGTGTTTCATGCCCGCCTCAGGTCGCCGCTTGCCCACCTTCGCTTTGAGGGCGCTAGCCGTCCAGCGCCTAGCAGCGTCTTAGTCAGCACCTGCCTCGACGAACCTGACTTCTTCCTCCTTCACTCCTTCACATGGCCTTGGACCTGCTGCATATACAACGACAATCCGCCAGGTCTGCTTTCCGCAGTGAGTCTGCAATTGCTGTCGATGCCTTCGACCACTGCGCGCCTTTACCATGATAATCCATCCATGGCAACAGCTTTCCATTATGGATGCTAATTTATCCAAACCAGCAATATGAGCGCTGCTCCGGCTTATTCATATACAGCTGAAAGATGAGTCGAGTCGAAATAAACCCTTCAGAAGCGTACATGCTTGCTGCGACACTCAAGCAATCACTCTGGCCCTTCTTGCCCTACCGGTGCAGCTGCATGGGCTACGATGACTGCGTCCGACAGCCGCAATTTCCTTGACACGCCAGGAAAGAATATGCCTATGGAAACTACCTCCTCGTCTATCATGAGGACACTTGGTCCATAAAAGCAGAGCTGTCTCCCTGCACTCCGTCTCTTCTTCATCCACTCAACTGCTTTCTAACAGCATAGCTTCTGAACACTTCTGCATTGTCTACAACTCCTCTACCATCATGGTTGGCTCCTTGTTCACTCTGGTGCTCCTCGTAGCTCTGACCTGGGCGCGGGCGATTGTCACCAACGAATGCCAACACAACGTCTGGATCTGGTCCCATCCGGTCACCGGGTCTAGCCACACTGAAAACGTCCCCATCAAGCCCAGCGGCCAATACCAGGAACCCTGGCGTCTCGGAACCCCGGACGCCCCTGGCATCGCCATCAAGATCTCATCTCAAGCAGACGGTCTGCTTAGGCTAGCAGACGAGATTGATTTTGCCTATTCAATCGACAAGTATGACAAATCCAAGATTTGGGTTGATTTGTCCTTGGTCCGAGGAGCGACTCCGTACAACAAGATGTCCTTCCACACGTGTGCTTCTCGATACAGCACTGCCGATGTGGATCCACAAGAGTGCGATGCGACAGACGATGTCGAGTTGGTTCTTTGCGGCACAACTCGGACGATGCCTGCCAAGGACTATGCATCAATCGAGCAGATACGGGCCTGCTATGAACCTGACAAGCCCACCTACCGGAGATCCTCTGAGGTATTGACTGGCGACGTGGATGGATCGAATGAGCAGCTCCCTCCATCCATTTATGAGTCCATGATGTATGTGGGATGTAACGTCAACATGTACGACTGCTCGCGACGCGACAAGCCTCCAGTCAGCGACAAGCCTCCAGTCAACGACAATCCACTTAGCAAGCTCCACGACATACCCCACGATACTTCATATGCCACCTCACACGCCACACCATATGAGCCTAGCATTGATGAGGCAAACAAGCCGGGCGCTGACAAACCATACGTCGGAGAGCCATCCAGCCACGAGCCACTCAGCTATGGGTCGTCGAGTTATGAGTCGTCCAGCTATAAGCCATCAAGCTATAATCCATCAAGCTACACACCACCGAGCTACACACCATCAATCAACACAACATCCAACTACACAACATCCAGTAATGATTCATCCAGTCATGAGACAAGCATGGATGCGCAAAACGATGACGAATATGACTTCAAAGGACCGCCGAGTGACGAGCCATCCATCGGCATACCATACGAGAAGCCAGACGACGACTCATACGTCAACCCATACATCGAGCCATACATCAATCCATATGTTGAAGAGCCATACGACGAGGAGCCGGTAGAAGGACCTGTCAATGATGATTGGCCGGTATATGACAAGTTGCCAGCCTTTGACCGATGCCAAGCTAGGGTAGTGTACCCAACAAGACGCACGTCACCCAAGCCACGAAGCGCTCCGGCTCCTTCGATCAAGCACCGCGAGCAGCATCCCTCGCTGTGCCAGGTTGTTCAAAAATACCATTCGGGGGTCAAGGAATGTGACGAGGAATCAATGAAGGAATATGCTCGCATGGTGTACCCTCATGTATGCGAGCCGCAGTACCAGACGCTTTTGATGGGCTTTCCATGTGAAGAGGTGGCGAGGGAGCTTCGGACCATCTATCCAGGTGTAGCCAATTCTACGCATGGCTTTGCACAAGGCTACGGTGCTGAGTGTGAGTGCGGGGACGAGTGGCCAGAGTGCTTCTGCGCTGACGCCATGGGGACTCGTAACATTCAAGATACGTCTCAAGTCTCTTCAGGGCAGCGAGTGTGTCTCTCGTGCCTTTGCGAGCGCATTCTGGGCAGTCTTTCTTGCGCCGAATTTGGGCCCATCCTTGAGAGCGTCTTGGAATTCTTGGGTGCGAAATACGAAGAGCTTATCAGCGACGATGGCCAGGATTGTTCGTCGAGTGGGGACCAGAGCGAGATTTGCGTCAGGGATCTCTGCGCTCATCTGAAAGGCGTGACTGATTGCGAGGGTCTGTATGCTATGATCAAGGTCGGTGCCAAAGCCAAGCTAAACCGGGACATTGAGTTTGTGGGTGACGCAGACTATAAGCACTGAGGGTGGATGAGAATGTTTTGCGAGGGCATGGGAGGGACGAGGGGGTATGATTCATCGTGTACATGCAGTCAGTATATATAATTAGAGGCAGAATGAATAAAGAGTTTCGACTAGTTGGGTTGCTGCGGCTCTAGCAATGTGTATCGTCTAGGCGCATGTACTAGATAGTGGCAATGTATGTAGTCGTCGGAGATGCGGGCGGTTGATGCGCTCGTCACGTGACCACGCGATGGTTGTCGCGTGAAGGGCCTGCACACCCGCCAAGATGACATTAGCCATATTGACGGCGGCATGGCAAAAGACGGTCGTCGAGGCAAAATACTCGGCAGAAGTCTCAGGCCATGGATACACTCAACGTTTCTCACGCAAGCTTTTGTTGCAAAGTGTATTCGAGTGCAGCACCGAGTCTAGAGCGCCCCTTGGCCACCTACTTACCGTGGACGCGGGCTGCGGGAATAAGGTTCATCAGGGCTTCTTTTTGAGGAGTCCATGGTTGATGAGATGGACGTACATGTCGCAGACTGGCATAACATTGGCATTGGCGTGCCGCGCCACTGTCAAGGCGATAACGTTTATTTGTCTCGACACGGAACAAGGCACAAGACGACAAGGCAAGACAAGACGGGCGCCTCGCTGCCACGGGTCTGTGCGTGCGTGACAGGCTCAACGGCACAATGCCCACGCCATCTTTTCCTCAAGCGTCACACAGCCCATGGGTCGCCGCGGCCAAACGGGCCAAACGCCCCACGGTGAAACAATGAAACACGTCGGGTTTGTCGACGTCGTGCCCTAATCACCTTCTGTGTCCGGGGACGCACTCGGCCAATAAACACGGGCTTGATACCTGGGCTCGAATCCCCCCCAAACTACTATAATTGCCGGGCCCACGTCGTTAGCAACTCCGACACTAGTCAGCCTGCGATATGTGAAACACGCATCGTTGCTGCTAGCACCCGCACACCACACTGAGCCGTACTGCGCCGTTTCCCCCCCCCATACATAATACTGGGCTCTGTTGCGCTGCCGTCGTGCGGTACGGCGTCCCGTGGCTGCAGGGTGCGTGGGTGAGCGTGTCAAGGGAATAGAGGGAGAGAAAGGAAAAAAAGAAAAAAAAACTTTGTTCTCGGGGCAACAAGCGTTTGATCTGCAGACGCGTCAGACTGAGGTGGGTGAGAAGATGGTGATGGTGATGGTTTGAATGCAGGACTTGAGTCCGAGATTTGAACGGGATTGTGTGTGTGTGTGGTTAGCGCGCAAAACCCAATAAGTAACTCGTGCTAGTAAGTAGTGGGTGTGGGTGTGGGCTATGTTTGTGAATCGTGAGCCGTAACCGTCCAAGCATGTAGTATGGCCGTTTACCCGTGTTTTGCACAACCCACGACAGGCGGCTGCCCAGGGAGAAAAGATAAAAAAAAACACGGGCTGCGGGAATGAATGAATCGTTGTCGGAATCCTTGGTTCTCCACTCAAATTCCCGCTTCACCATAAGTACACACGCCACAAAAACTCGCGAGTCGACCTGACACACTCGCCTGACATGACATGGACAAGACAGACAGACAGACAGACAGACAGACAGGCTACAGGTAACAGATAACAGGTTGCCATGACAAGTTTGCAAGTGCTAGCGGCACGACAATCCGATAGCCAGACCAACAAGAGAAAAAAAAACAAGAAAGAATAATTGGAAAAATTCAATAGTTATACGAAAGGAAAGAAAAATAGAAAAGAAAATAGGGCCGTGATTCCACCACCTGAAAGACCCTGAAAGCCTAAAACCCGTAGCTCTCAGCTCTCGTAACCTCGTGCTCGGACTCTAATCATGACGAATGATGATCATGTGCGTCATTTGTCATTTCCATGTATTCAATCCCCCTCCCTCCCCCCTTCCGTATTGCCAACGATAAGCATCATCATCATCATCATCATCTGTGATCTACAATACACGGTCACGGTCACGGTCACGGTCACGGTCACGAGGGGTGTGCAAGAGCCCATTAGTAATCGTCATTGTCTAATATGAAATGTTCATCTTCATCTTGTTTTTGTTTTTTGTTTTTCGCAAGCTGCTCTGCTCTGTTCTGCTGTGCTCTAGTTTATGTAAAGGGGAAGGAATAAAGTGTAATGAGCAATGGAGCGTGGATGTGAAAAGTTTTTATTTCAGAACTTGTTGTCTGGTACGGACTTGCCATGGCATGGCATGGCACGACTTTGAATCGTTAATGCTTTGCTGCATTGGGACATGACATGTCAATCACCCCGTTTCGCACTAAATAGTTCCTTGCTTTGCTTTCATCCTTTGCTCCTTCCTTCCTTCCTTCCTTCCACAATCATACCTATACTTTACAACCCCGTCGCGTGGATTTCGCTAGCGTTTAGCGCGCACTTTCCCCATCGCTCTTGTTGCCTAGTTTGAATGTCTGCTGCTGCCTTGTTTTGTCTTGTCTTGTCCTGACCTAGTTGTGGAATTTTTGCCCATGTCGTGTTTATGCCGCACACAAGCCCAGGCTAAGTGTGCATCAATCAACCCTGTATATTGCAAGCCGTCCCTCCTCCTCCTCCTCCTCCTCCTCCTGCTCCTCCTCCGAGAATCAAACCCACTCCTTCCCGTCCACCCCAAATGCCCGAAATTCAAATCAAGCAAGGAAAAAAAAACGGCTTCGCGTCCCGATAAACACACACATACACACACACATACACACACAAGAAATGGTGGGAAATGAGCATATTAGATAAGATGTTCCGTTTTGGGAGCGGGTTTGGGAGCGGGTCCAGGGTTTGCACTGCCTGCCTTTGGATTGTGCGGATATTAAGTTGGCAGTGGCTATATGTGTATGTGTGTGTGTGTGGTTAATCTCGGTAGATTGGAAAACAGGGTTTGCATAAATATCAGCTTCGTATACTGTATGTACTTTGTGTACATGTATGCATTATGTAAAGTGCACGGGGGGGGGGGTGAGAAATGCACATGACATGGTCAACGTGTACTGTATATGTAAGCGTGGCTGAGTGCGTTGGGTAAAGTCAGAGAGAGAGAGAGTGTGTGTGCATGTCTCATGACATGACATGCACACAGCCACAGTCCATATTGCACAACCACAACCACAACCACAACCACAACCATGACCATGACCACAAGGCGCTACATAGTACATACAAGGTCGTCAGGACCCACGAGCATGACCGGAAAGAGGCAAAAGCAAACCCATTCACCGAAAAGTGCGAGAAAAAAAAAGACAAAGTTTCAAAAAAAGAAAACACGCCACGCATCATCAGAATTGGGGCACTTGTTTTAATGACATGTTTTTTGTTCCATTTCAATTCGCCAATTACTCGCACACGACTTTTTTTGCTTTTCTTTTCCCACCCGACCGCCCATATGCCAAGTATGCATGGTGGAACAGCCGAGCATGTGCGTGTGTGTGTGTGTGCGTGCAAAGAGTCAAGCTTTCGATAAGAAAAAAAACTAACTAAACTGGCTAAGGCGTCGGTACGCCGACGCAAACAGTCGAGGATATGATGATGATGATGGTCCCAAACGCCGATTCAATGCTTCTGTGTGCGTGCTGCTGCGTGCTTCTTGCTGCTGCTGCTGCTATGCAAATGCTTAACAAGAAAAAACGCCCTTCAAACGCCATTTCCATGCAAAAAGAAACATAGAAAAGAAAGAAGAAAAGAACAAAAAGCTGGTGACCGAGATGGTTTGGGGAGGTTGAAGAATTCGGTGTCCCATCCAGTGAGCATTCTTCATCAAATCGTGTCATGGTTGAACAAAGTAAAAAGAAAAGAAAAGAAAAAAAAGGGGGTTTTGATAAGCGAAAGTGTTGGATCCAAGTAGCGAATGAAAATCAATAGCCAGTCTGGCGACCGGTAAATGTGGCCGTCTGGCCAAACATGCGGCTGAAGATGCCACCGGCCGACGTCTTTGCCTTTTTCGAGGGCTGGTGCTCGTACAGCGGGAGAGCATGTTGCTGCTTGGGCTGGGTGTAGGGGATGGGGCCATTGATATATACAACATTGGCGCCCTGGTCGGCATCGTAGCGGTGGACAACAGCCTCCGAGGGCTCGTCGTGGAAACTGGCAGGTGATGTGGATGAGACCGAGGCCGAAGAGCTGCGTGTCGGGGGGGATAGTGAGGGGGTGCGCGATGGGGCGCGGGCAGACGGCATGTACTGCATACGATGCCTCTGGGGACGGGAAGCGTATGAAGACATGGACGTGTTTGATGGGTAGGCGTGGACCGAGCGCGACAGGCTTTCCGTGGAGCGCTGGTACTGCTTACGGGCAAGCTCCCTCTCCTTCTCGGCCAGCCGGGCCTTCTCGGCCTGGCGTGATTGCCACACGCGGATGGGGGCCAGGAAGGGCTCCAGGTGGTAGTAGAGGTCGTCCGTGTTGATGCGGAGGTCCCAGTCGAGCAGGAAGAGCAGCTGCTTCTCCATGAGGTTGACCTCGGTGATGGAGAAGCCAAAGTTGTCGTAGCCGCGGACCGAGCTGTAGCGGGCCCAGTGCTTGTTCTTGGGCGACGAGTCGTTGAGGTTCTTAGCCGCAAGGATGAGCGAGGCCAGGAAGATGCGATGGACAGTGCAGCGCATGCCCTTGGCAACAGGGGGGAGGCGTGACCGCAACCGGCTGAGGTAGATGAGCGAAGACATGAGCGTGGCCGTCTGGACATGTGACCTCTCGACAATCGACGTGATGAATTCCTCGACCGATGGGAGGGCAGGCTCGCGCGAGTTGGTGGCCATGTGCTGGGGCGAGGCGGGTGGTGTAGGAGGCAGGTTCTTGTTGATGGATGGCTCGCAGCGGATGACTTGTGTGGCCTTTTGTGCAAGATATGAAATCATGTCACTTGACACGGGGAGCTGAATGAAGTGGTCCAGGGCAGCCTGGTTCTCGGCGGCGAGATTTGGTGAGTAAGGCATGGTGGTGTGTGTGTGTGTTTATGTGGTTGTGGGGTTCACAGTCTTTTTGAAGCGAATGAAGACCTAGGTGATGCTGAGGTCTGGGACAGTGTCAAAGTCCAAGTCGCAAGCAATGGCGATGCAGGAAATTATTAGAGCGAAAAGACGGGTCCGAGTCCAGTCGGAAGGCGAGCTTGGTTGGTGTTGGAGCGAGGTGGGTGGGTGGATGGATGGATGGATGGATGGATGGATGGATGGATGGATGGATGGATGGATGGATGGATGGATGGCTCTGCCAATATGGAAAGTCGGATATGGATGGTGGTGATGGAGGGGCGAAGGACACTGCCGGAGTGGGGGAAAAAAAAAGGGCACCTGCACCGCTAGGATGGCAGGGAGTGAGGGCGATGTATCAAAAGAAAAGAAAAAGGGCGGAAGAAGTGAACAAGTCTTGGAATTGACGGTGCAAAGGGGCGGAGGTGAAAGTATCGAGGGCCGAGATGGGTGATACTTATGAATGGCAGGCCCCCTTGAGGAGCGGGTACGTGTGGGAAGCTTGGTTGAGCGAGGGAATGCTGCGGGAGGATGGTTCGGCGGCTGTGCGTGGCAGCCAATGGATAGCGGGTACGGCGGCGCAACAGGACGATAGCGCGCCACGGGCTCGTCTTGTCAGCGGCTGTATGGCCGATTTGGGCGGGGGGCGGTAGATTGCGAGTGGTGAGTCGCAGGAGCCCAGGAATAGCAGTGTTTCAAGTGCAAGCCAATGGTTTGCGGGCAGGGCAGGGCGCTGGAGGCGAGGGGGCGCGAGAGCCAATCAAGGGGTGCAGCGCGAGGCGTTTCGAAGGCGGACGACGATGTTTGAGAGGTGTTGGGGTATGGGGAGTTGTGCAGCGGCGTGTTGGCGATGGATGGATGGATGGATGGATGGATGGATGGATGGATGGATGGATGGGTGGGTGGATTGGATGGGCGTGGATGGCGCTGCAGGCAAAGCCACCGAGGAGGTCGAGCGTTGGGCGGGCAGACGGGCAGGATGATATGTATGCGTGGTGCTATGGGCAGCCGGGCGGGCGGACTAGAGGCGTCTGCTGGCAGCTGGCCTGGGTCACGTTGGCCGCCCGTGGGTTGCTGGAGGCGGTGAGGCTTGGGAGTGGACCCGGAATGGCGGTGGTGGATGAAT